GCAAGGTTGGAGGACCCGGGCCGATAATTTAAAAAAATGGGCTTACTGGACCAGGTTTGTTTGGGAGGCTGACGCCAGCATTTCAACAAACCGGTTCCAGTGAGTCCTTTGTATTGTTCAAGTAGGCTTTGTCCCCCAAACGCGAGTGGGTCGGCATCATGATCGGCCAGTAAATACCGCTGAACAGCTCTGGACGTATTATGCTGGATCTTTTTTTGCTCCCAACGCAGATGGGCATCGATCGCAGTTATATTCGGACATAAAAGCTCAAAACAGAATGGCATCTAAGTAGGCTGAATCTACTGGGTTTAGAAGAACGCTTCTTCTGCCGCGAGAGTTTCGTCTCCAACACTACCACTAACAACCCTATTGAAATGCCGATGCTCGTTGAAGTAAACGGCTTATAAAACCAGACTACCTTCCAAATTTGCTGCACCTCCCTCGTATCCACTTTACTAAAAAGGGCATTCGATAACTCTTACAAATTTAGCTCAAAATCCATTGTAATTATGCCACGAAGATCATGTGGTTCCACGGCCCAATTCTGTAAAGTTCGGATGGCCCTATGTGCCAGCAGTCCTGCCTCTGGGAGCTAACCAGATCGTTTTTGCAGACATTGTCTGCGTCTGCGTCAGCGAGAGATTGCCTTAGAGGACAACAGTGTTGCATTTATTCCGGGGGTTGTGGTTTTTCTAAAACAGGCAGTTTGAACCGCTGCCGAGCTCTCACGCGAGTATATCGTTAGGTATGTCCTAGATTTCTAGGCGCGTACCCGGAGGATTGGATTTCGGGTGTGGCCATAATCGGAGTGCCACGTCACTCAACATTTCCCGGAGTAGGCGGAGGGGATGTTCCCAACGATCAAAGGGTTTGTCGCGGCGATATTATTCGGTTTCTCGTCATTCGAAAATATCCTTCCATCACGTCGAGTCCAGATTGCTTCACACCTTATCATTTAAATATTCAAACTCCTGACAAGGGAAGAAAGTTCGCATATGCAGACATGTGTAACTGTACTGAAGTTCGTTGTAGAAAGCCAATTTCTGTGTATCATCAGCTTTCAACTTTGATGCGTAGATCAGGACAAATGTGTGCGCATTTACATCGGTCGAATACGAACGTTTCCAGCATGCAAGTTGGTTTTTCAACCTATTTCTTGTAGCAATTAACTTACCACCAACCGTTGTCATTATTACCGCTGTGGTGGAGTTTAACGTATTTTTCTCTACCTGACACCATAATGATCTAGCGAACCTAATTCAGAAAGGTAGGTAGCGTCCGCATCGTAGTGTGCTAATGCCACCATAATTTAGCAGGTCAGCAAAAATTCTCACATATCATCATACCATCTTTTAATCCGAAAAGGCCGGCTTAATTAGCTACTGCTTGACTCATTGGCAAATGTCTAGCCTTATCAGTTGCTCCAAACGCCTTAGCATAAGCCGAAACGCCAGCTTTCACACTTG